GCCGCAGGACTGAGGACCGGGTGAGTAATATCTTTTTTTTATTTTAGACCCTAGACCAAAATGAGAAGTTAACCCATGCAGTGCAGAGCCAGCCCCACTGTAAGGGTTAATTTTGGACATGCCCGGAGTTCTACTTTAAAGTTCATGCTGATATTAAGAAAAAAACAAACTAGCCCCTCCCCCAAAACTGAACATGTATTTTAAGGCCGCGTTCACACTTTGCAAAGCGTGAACGTGCATTCGTGTGTGTACATGTGCCGCGCATGTGCAGCCCACTAATTGCATGAGCTCACATGTGGCAAACACTCAAGTAGCGCATGCAGAATTTTCAGCTGCGAGTTTGCCACGTCCCCCCCCACCCCCCCATGCATTTGTCCATATTTGACGCACATCCGTAACAAACAACGGCACCGCAATAGCGTTGCATGAGCACATTTTCTTTGGTGCACGTGACGCCAAATTGTGAACTGGTACTAAAGTGTGAACTGGTACTAAAGTGTGAACTGGTACTAAAGTGTGAACTGGTAATAAAGAAAAAAAAGAGAACAGAGAACCTCATCCATTGGCCAATGTTCCTCCACTATCCAATCACAGGCTGGGGGCGGGGAGGTGACCAGGCTGTATCGCTTAACTGCCTTGGAGAAAAGTCAGGTCACCGGCTATGCTGTCTGGCATTGCTGTGTAAATCTCAAGATTGGCTGGACAGAATCACAAATCCTTTGGCATGCAGAGCAGCTCCCATGTGAGGATGGAAAAGGCGGGTTGAACAGTCTTCCTGGAGCTCAGCTTTACTAAAAAATCATTGCATATAGGTACAAGAAAGACGCAGCGTAGAAAATAAATAAGAGTGTCCGGAACGGAGGTGTGTGAGCGATTCACGGAAGGTTCTCCAGCACCGATCTCCATAAACCAGAGAAGACAATTCCCCGTAGATCTGGAAAATCAGAACTTTGCGGTCTCTATTCCCTCACGGAGGTTAAGAATAAAACTGGACAGTGGCCTTCTTCCGACAGAGTTTATATTAAATAGAAAGTACGTCAGTTCCCTGTGTCCTGGGATTTTTCTTTTCCCTTTTATATATTTTTTTTCTCCGCTCTACTAAAAAAAAAAAGTGATTAAAGTGCACAAGCACTCCTTTAAAGTGACCGGCGTCAGTGTTCGGAATTCCGTGGACAAGAAGAAAAAAAAAAGTGGGGGGTCACGTGACCACATACAACTCCTCCCGGTCATCTTTACACATCTTATATCCGCAGTCCAGCATTTGCGACCACTCCCACGATTTCGTTTTCCGCTCCCGGGGCGGCAGCAGAAAAGCCACGCTGGTGGCCACCATCATGTGCCACAGGCTGTGGGTGTAGTAGTAGTTGGCGTTGGTCTCGGCGAAGACGTAGACTGAAATGGCCGTCAGGGCCAAGGCTACTCCGGGTATGAGGAAGAAGACCCAACGCTGCCAGCTTGGGGGGTAACAGTGGCGACGCCGGACTCCCCTCCATGTCTGAAATGCAAAAAAGAAGAAGGATTTTCAGCAGCGAGTTGGCGGTGGGGCAGCCAGTTTCTGTACTGCGGTAATATGAATGCCTGCTTATAATGCAATTCGCGCAATTCTACTGGAAAATAGAGTGGCCAAGGCCGAGTCAATTTATTTCCGGTTTGTTCATTAGGGAAAGACTTGGGGGGGGGGTTATTCACAAAGGAGCCGAAGGATCCAGCCATAGCTTCGGCTGATCCTTCGGCTCTCTGCGGCTGCCGGAGCCCTTCGGTTTGACTGCTTTACGGGCTATTCACTGTAGCCTGTACAGCAGCCGAAGGCGGCTCAAAAGACTCTATGGACTTTATTTTGGTTGGAAGCCTGCTCCTCCCACTGCGTTCTGGGTTCCTCCCACCAACCCCACATCAGTACTCTATGCTGTAGTGTCATAGCGGTCAGCAGGAGGAACCACGAGGCACAGCAGGGCACCCAGAAGTGTCTGATGCAGAAGCTTCTTTGGGCAGGGTTACATTCTGCGATAGTGCCAAGATTGACAGGGAGAACCGGTCAATATTCACCGTTTGCTTTTACAGACTGCTTACGCTTTCCTTTTTTTAAAGAAGTAACATAATCGCTTTTAAAAGTAAAATAAAAAAGGAAAAAAAAAGGGGAGAAAAGATATTAAAGAAAAACAGGAAAAAAGTAATGGTTTAAAAAAAAAAAAAAAATATGACGGAAAGGAACATTAAAAGACAACACAGGAATACAAAAGAAAACCCTTTTGGCTGGTGACTTGTTGCCCTTACCCACACGATGATCAGGATTATCAGAGCGAACAGACACGGCCCCAACATGTTCCAAATTCCTCGCCGATCGAGTTGCATAGACATTGCGATCACCAGCGATCCCAACATAAACAGCACCTGAAACAGGAAGAGCGCATTGAGAAACAATACACAAAAAGCATAATGTTGTATAGACCTATTAAAGGACCCCCCGACATGGGAAAGATATGGGGGGCTGCCACTGCCGACTCCCCCTTCTGAAAATGCTTTTGGCCCTCCTAATTCAACAACTGCTGAGTTAGTGACCCAGAACAAGCTTTCAGAACTGAAATCGCTTACTCCAATATCACTGCACACTGGGAGCTTCTCACAATGTGCATTGGAAGCTTCAGAAAGTCAAATGGAGCCCGCCTCATTTCCTGGCTGGCGGACATTGAGCATCATCTATCGCTTTCCTCCCCAGCCTGACTGGTCCCTGACCCTGACCTTTTATTTATGGAATCATGGAGGCTCAGCATCAATTGTGGGCGTTACCTAGGGCAGTCTGCATGCAAATTAAGTCTACCTAAGAACACCGACTCCTCCAGACCGACACCTGACCATCAAGGCATTTTTAAATTTGCATAACTCCTCCCAAGAGCTAGCCTACTGCGCACACCAGGACTTACAGCTCTTGAGGAGTACTATGGCTGGTGGGAGGGGCCCCTCCCCCCAGCCACGATCTGCCTGCATTGCACAGAGAAGTAGAGACCAAGTGATGACATCACAGAGTCTAAAATAAGATATGTAAATGTTTTTTTCAGTAGCACGTTGATGAGGAGGGAGGGAAGAACCAGGGAAGGCAAAATATAAGCATATTAATCTTCAGCTTTAGCACAATATAGTACATTAGACCAATGAAAGGCCCACACATTTATTACTGCGTATGCCCCCTGACTGCATTACAGTGATAACAAGGAAAGCTTCAATTGGGCTTTAAAAATATCCCACCCCAAAATTCACAACCATTATCTCTTTATCTCGTACACACAAAGAGCAGCCGCTGAGAACATTCATACGCTACTTACGTATTTAACCGGCTTCTTCAGCCTGCACATACACAGGATGGTCACCCAGATGGCGACGACAGAGCCGAAGAAGTCGCAGAACTGCAGCGTGTCGTAGTCCATGATGCACATGACGGTCACTCCGGGCTGATCGCAGGCGTGATAGAACTAAAAAGAGCAAAGTGGTAAAGTGAATGATCAGAGGTGGTTGTGGCAGGACGGACAGATGCCTGGGGCGCAACTAAGGCGGCGGTGCAATCTCACATTTGAATAAAAACTGCTTGTGAGGTCTCTATATCTCTGACAATTAAACAACACCTTTCACAATATAAAGTGAACTCTACTGTTGCTAGGAAGAAACCCCCCCACAAAAAAAGACCTGCGGGACACATTGCAAATACTGTACATATATGGGAAGCATTCTACCTGCCACAGGATTTGTGTTTCAGTTCATCCAGTCCTAAGATTTACACAGCTGCCTTACACAGCACAGCCAGGGAGATGACACCATTTACAGTTAGAGAAGAACTCTGGGTAAAGATGTTGTTAACCCTTCCAGTGGGGCTACCTGCAAGGGTTAAGTGCCCGTTTTAACAAAGTTATACTCGCCCGATCCTGGGAGCCGACTGGCTGTCACAGCGCTCCCTCCTGCCTGTCACCTCCTCCGCTGCAACGTGGCGTCCTCGCATCCTATACACAGTGTTTAGAACGTGATGACTCAGGGGCCTTAGACCGCTGCAGTGGAGGGGGAAAAAGGCTCCAGTGATCGGTAAGAGCAAGTCAGCTTGGAGGATCATGCGAGTATAACTTTTAGATTTTTGACCCTAGGCAAAAAAGAGCATGTACCCCTTGCAGTGAGGAGGTAGCCCCACTGCAAGGGTTAATACCCGGAGTTCTGCTTTAAGTGCGGTCATCTCTCGTCCCCAATCTTCTGACTGGATGAAGCAGCAACAGTAGACTATGAGATGGTTCCTCTACTCGCTCTGCTCTCCCCACCTATCAGCATGCTCCTGGTCAACATAAATGCATGTAGCACCCTTGACTGGCTCCCAGCCCTGTCCTTCCCTCTCCCAGTCTGAATGCTGCTGCACAGGGCAAGTCAAAATCTGGTACTTACATGGTATATAAATTAAATGATTTATTAATGAACACAGAGCTGCATTCATTTGTGTTTTATATCTGCCATTTAAAAAGGATAACATCATATTACTATACTGCCTGGAAAGGTGTAAGACGTTGATAGGACAGGCAGATGTGGGGCGAGCAGCAGAAGCAGGAAAATTAATGTCATACCGTAGAGAAAAACATGGTGTAGGCGTAGACCGCGGCCTCTACGAAATAGAAGTGGTAAACGGCGACTACAATGGTGGGCACAAACAGTAGATTGCTGAGCGTCAGCAGCATTGTGGCGGTCAACTGCTGTGCCACGGACAGAGCGTTCCGGTCATCTGTGCAGCTCCAGCCGGCCCAGCCTTGAGGAAAAACAAAAATCACAGATTGAGGAAATCGCTTCTTTTCACAAGAGCCGAGGTGTTCATCGCTAAAACGCTTTACCTTGTCGTCATAAAGCACATAGCGCCATCTTATTCCAAAGCTCTTATATACAACATCAGAGGCAAAAGTTAAATGCCCTGCTCATTACAAATTACAGTCCAATAGTGAACATGAGCAATGAGATCCTCCTAATTAGAGATCATCGTCTAACAGTAAACCGGAAGAATGAGGCCTTCCTAATTAGAACTTATTACCTCGAACAGTGAACAGGAATTATGAGACTCTTCTAACTAGAGCTTATAATCTAACAGTAAATAGGAGGTACCAGACTCTTCTAATTAGAGCTTATAATCTAACAGTAAATAGGAGGTACCAGACTCTTCTAATTAGAGCTTATAATCTAACAGTAAATAGGAGGTACCAGACTCTTCTAATTAGAGCTTATAATCTAACAGTAAATAGGAGGTACCAGACTCTTCTAATTAGAGCTTATAATCTAACAGTAAATAGGAGGTACCAGACTCTTCTAATTAGAGCTTATAATCTAACAGTAAATAGGAGGTACCAGACTCTT